GCTCCCCTCCGCCATGGGCCAGGCTCCACACACCCTTGCTCTCTTCACACGGGTCCCGTTGGAACAACCGGGTTCTCGTGCACATTCATCCCACTGGGCTGAACACATGCATGAGGATCTTGGACGCTTTCGTGCGGGCCTCCTGCACGTCGTCTAAACCTCGCGGCCACGTTTGTACGCAGAGCCGTGTACATCCTCACAGGGTTCATGCCCGCTTACGTCTTTTTGCTTACGTGCCGGTGTACAACCACACATGTGAAGCTCCCAGGCTTCTGAATCTGGGGCTTACTGATTCCTGGCCAGATCCTGCATGGGCCTCTCCTGGTATTTCACATGCTTCGTGGCCCAGGAAGCCCTTCGTGGCCCCAGGAAGCTAGCGGTCTCTCTCAACAGGGAACCCTGTGTCTGGCCTGCTCGTAGGCAGTTGTGACAGGCCTGAGTCTTGGCAAGTAGGCAGCTCTTCTGTCATCACCTTTCCTCTCCCCAGAGCACATGAAACATCCACAGCCACCTTCCCTGTTCTGTGTCAAATCTCAAATCCCCGTTTCCATGGCCCCTGTTTTGTTTGTCTCAACATCTGGGCCTCCAGAGTCTGCGTTCCCAGCCCCTTCCCAGTGGCCATGGGAACGTATCTCTTCAAATGGCACGGTTACTTTTGGGTCTCCACGTTTGTGAGTTTATCAAGGTGTTCTCTCCCTCCTCTCTGTTTTTAAGCTGGTAAGTTGTACTTCCTTCCTCAAGACACCACTTGGCCCAGAAAGCCAATTCCAACTCCTTAGCATTTCTGAAACCAGCGTTCCAGCTGCCAGGCCTCCCTTGCTCTTCCAGGCATTAGGAGGAGAGGACAGGCCTGCGCCTCTGGGACCTCACCCCTCTCGTTTCTGGGTGACAGGGACTGAGCAGGAGCTCTGCTTGCTGTCTAGACAGGTCCCCCTAAAGGAGTGTCTCTGAGAGACTTTAGTGTCCATACTTCCCATTCAGTGAAGCTCTTCCCGAAACTCTGGATTCCTTTTTTTTTTTATTTTAATTTTTTAATTTTTTAAATTTTTTTTAATGTTTATTCATTTTTGCGAGAGAGAGAGAATGTGAGCGGGGGAGGAGCAGAGAGAGAGGGAGACACAGAATCTGAAGCAGGCTCCAGGCTCTGAGCTGTCAGCATAGAGCCCGACACGGGGCTCAGACTCACAAACCATGAGATCGTGACCTGAGCCGAAGTCGGACGCTTAACCGACTGAGCCACCCAGGCACCCCTGGATTCCTTTTTTAAACAAAAGACACTGGGTTGAAAAATACATTTCTAGAGCAAAATTTATTGTCAGGCCTTCCTTTCTCATCAGTCTTTAACCATTTCCAATCGCTGCCTAAGTCTTGTCCCAATTTCCTTGAGGATTAAATGAGACGCTGCTTTTCCCCAGAGGCTTTGACACTCCCCACCCCAGACTGCCAGCAAGAACTCTGGCAGTTTATAGCTCCTGAAGTGATGAGTGTGTCCCACTGGTCCCTGCTATTTCCCTTCTTCACAGTACCTTCCCTGCTTCTCTGCTCCCCTTGCCTCTGAGTTGAGCAGACCTATGGGACACTGAAGCTGCCGTTTCTTAGTCAAAAAAAAAAAAAGAGCCTTTTCCCTCTCAGCAAAAGTGCCTAACTACGGCCTCAAGCATGTGCTTGAATTTTCCTCCTGAAATCTTAGATGTGCATCATCTTCTCCGTCCCCCTGCTCCCACTGCCCCCAGTACGCACACTCCATCTCTCATCACGGTGCCTCCCCACAGTCCCAGCAGCCTCTCTCGCACCCTCACCTGACCCTCCTTCTCTCACTGGTAGAGCAGGGCCTGCTGTCCCCCTCCCCATGGAGTACTCCTCTGGCTTCCCCTGACCACAGCAGCTGCTGTGGAGAGAATCCTGCCCCACGCTCTAGACCTGAACTCTGGTCTCGGCCACTTACCTGACACAGGAGCCCAGGCAGCTCCATCCCCTCTCTGGCCCTGTTTCCACCCCTGCTCGCCCACGAAATGGATTCTAGGTGTGCAGGCCATACCGCCTTACCCACTGGCCTGCCTCATCCTCTTGTTCTGTTTCCTACAGCACCAGCCGGCTGCGGGCCATGGCTGTCCTTGGAACAGAGGGGCGTGGCTCCTTCTCCTGCCCGAAGACCAAGACTGACGGGAGCCCCAAGGTAATGCATCATTGTGTACCTTCACTGACAGTGAAACCCATGAGGCCCCAGACCCAAGCTAGCATCCCTGATCCTCCCCTGCTGGTTCGAGGCTGGTGAATCTCCAACCCCTGCCCCTGAACCCCAGTTTTTCTCCTTTCTTTAGAGCACTGGCTCTCCAGTCACCACCTACCACCTACAGAGGGCACTGCCCGGGGGCATCATCCTCATGGAGCTGGCTTTTCAGGTGAGCAGGAGGAGCACTGAGTAGGGAGAGCCAGATCCATCTGTCTCTTGCCCTCCTGACCTCATCTTCACCCTCTCTCCAGGGCTGTTACTTCTGTGTCAAACAGTTCGCCCTAGAATGTTCCCGAATCCCCATGGGGCAAGCTGTCAACTCTCAGGTATGTGGTAGGAACAGAGGGAATAGGGGGTCTCGGGCATACTCAGCGCATCCCCAGTGCGCCGTGGCCAGTAAGAGGAACACAGATAGTCTGGCCCAGTGGTGATCTGTTGCTGTGGGCTGGCCAAGTCAGTGGTCATTCTGGTGCCATGACTGGGTCATCCACCCATCAGTGTCACTGTGTCGATGGCCCGGAGCTGTTATTCAACCATAGCACTGGAGGCAGAAGGCAGTCCAGCACCGTGGCTGGTCTGGCACTGACAGGAGCCTGGCACTGTGGTTAAGCCATAACCAGAGATGGTCAGCTAGCACATTTGAACATAGTGGGTAACCTCACACATGGGTAGGCCAGTGCCAAGGGCAGTCCTGGCCTAATCTAGAGCTGGAGACAGCCAGACTTTGTCAGTGTCATCACTAACACTTAGAATGAGGACCAGAGTTCCCAGCCACACAGCATACCCCTGGCCCTTAGTTGTTATTTACATCCCTGTCGGCCTCAGGGCAGAGCCCTATACCGGTGAGGGCCGCACAACTCAGGAGTGCTCAGAATGAGTCAAAGGATTGAGTGAGGTCAGGGACCTAAAGCCCTCTGTACTTGAGTTAGTTCAGCTCCTTCAGGTCATCAGGCATGTCATGTGAGGGCCTGTACCTTCTCTGTGCCTCTCATCTAGTTTGAGATCAAGGTCTGACTGGGCCTAGTCAGACTCCTCATATCTGGAATGCTCACGTCCAGCCCATAGATGGTTGCCTTTGACTTGAGTGTGGATCCCTAGTCCACTCATCACAAGATAAGGTGACCTAGAAAAGCGTGGGGACTTTACGTGCAGGAACCTACCTGGGCCAGAGCGCTGTGAAGGGAGCTCTGGACAAGCAGATACGCTGTCCGTGTAGTGCTGTACTGGCAGGGAAGACCCACCTCCATGACTCTCTCGAGCTTCTTGAAGTCCTTGTGGCTTCTCTGCCCCTGATTTCCATCCAGTTTGGCTCGCTTTGCCTCTACTTGTGTAATCTCTGACCCTACTTAGATTTGTAAATTGTTTTTTTGTTGCTGTTGTTTATTAAGTGTGGAGTATGTGCTCAGTGGAGAGTTTTCCTCCTGCTACACACTTGAGGAAACCGATGTGCATGGATATTAAGTAATTGCCTGGGCACATGCCAGTTGGTGGCAGTACTGGGGTTGGAATCTAGGTCTGTGGGACGTGAGCCCTAAGGTAACACATCATCGTGTGCCTTCCTAACAGTGAAATCAGTGATGTCCCAGACACCAGTGTCCCCGAGCCTTCCTTTCTTCCTCTTCCCCTCCTCCGTGAGCATCCTGTGACATTTCTTTGGCCGCCTCTCCAGTGCTCATGATAATCATAGTCCTTGGTTATTTCAGTTTATCACAAGCTCTCTAGCTTTACAAAGACCTTTATGTTATATTCATGTACATGAGGAAACTAAGGCTGAGAGACCATGACTCAGCCAAGATCACACAGCTCCCCTGGCCCCTAGGCTGTCACTTCTTTGACAGCCAGTTATTTCCTTTCCTAGTAACTCCTGTGCCCAGTGCTTCTGATGGAATGGTCGTGTAGATTCTGCCATCCCAGCACCGCAGATCCAGCCGCTAACACTCTCAGTGATGGTGATTTCCACCAAGAGAAGCACCAGCTCTGTGTCTCTGCCTTCCTTCCTTCCTCCGTTCGTGGTTCATTCATTCGCAGATCAATTAGAGGAGGCCTACCCTGGCCTAGCCTTCGCAGGATATCCCAGATGAAGCTTTACGATTGAGTAGGAGTTAGCCACATTTGGGGAGCAGGGAGAGCAGCATTCCAGGCAGAGAGAACAAGCAGTTACAAAAGTGTGAAGAGAATGTATGATGTACTGGGAAGAGCGGTGCTTTGATGGAAGGTAAAGCTGGAGAGATGGCAGGGGCCAGGAAAGACTTTCTAATAGTAAATTACACACCTGGCCTACCCGGATCACCCTGTTTAAAACTGCAGCTGCTTTACTAGATTTTCCACAACCCCACCTTCTAGCATACTGCCTCCTCATTTATTCTGCCTAACAGTTATCATCTTACCTACCCACTTACTAGAACGGGAGCTCTTGAAGGTAGGGTTTGCTTGTTTCCCGCTGTATCCCCAGCACCCGAACAGTACCTAGTAAGACACTGAACAAGTATTTTTTGCATCAGTGAATCTGCCTCAGACTTTATTGGAATCTGGGATAGAGTGAAAAGGCCCATCTATCAAAATGGTCGTGGTTTCACGTCAACAGAGTCACGATACTGTATGAAACGGGACGTAATGAGGAGGGCTCCCCATAGAAGTTACTCTGGCAGACGGGGTTCCCCCAGGCCCACAGCAACAGGGTGAATCTTGAACTTCCTCTTCCCATGGAAGAGGGAGAGAAATGGGAATGTGCTGGGCCGTGTGCTGTATCCTGACCCAGTCCCCTGCCGCCACCTCCCCAGCTGTCCATGCTGTTCACTGAGGAATGTGACAAGGTGCGGGACCTGATGCACGTGCACTCATTCAGCTACGACTTCCACCTGCGCCTGGTGCACCAACACGTCCTGGGCGCCCACCTAGTGCTGCGACATGGCTACCACCTCACCACCTTCCTGCGACACTTCCTGGCCCACCACCCTGACGGGCCCCACTTTGGTCGTAATCACATTTACCAAGGTCTGTGCCCAAGGGCAAGCCAGTGAACCAGAAATAGACCACAGGGTGTCTCCAAGCCAGGGCCGATGGGACCACTTCCTGGGGCCAGACCTAGTCTCTGCACCTCCTGTCCTGTATTGTTAATCGCCTCAGGTCACTTGGACCCTGTCCCCATGTGTCTGGTTTGTGTCTTTATCTTAAGTTCTTCACGCTGTTTCATGTCAAAGTTTAGATCCTGTGTCATGTGTACCCTGCCCTCTGTCTCTCCCGAGCCACTTTCGTCCCATCTCGATGTTCCACAGGAGCTCCCCAGAAAAACAGAGCCAGGCCACTTGCCGATCAGAGCCTTAGGGACTTCTAACCTCCTGCCCCACCCATGCAGTGTGTCTGTCCCGGGCTCAGCATCTCCTGTAACTTGCCCCCCAGGGACCCTGGAGCTTTCCACACCGCTCATTGCTGCCCACCAGCTGTATAACTACGTGGCTGACCATGCCAGCTCCTACCACATGAAGCCATTGCGGATGGCGCGGCCAGGAGGCCCAGAACATAACGAATATGCCCTGGTATCAGCGTGGCACAGGTAGAGTGGCAAGGGGGCACCAGCATGTGATCTGGTGAAGCTGAGGTCGAGGCCATCCTGGCAGTAGGGAGACAGAGTCTCGAGCAGGAGGGAGGGGGTTGGCTTCATCAGAACCTCAGTGTTGGCATCTCACCCACCCTCACTGTACAGCTCTGGCTCCTACCTGGACTCTGAGGGACTTCGTCACCAGGATGACTTTGATGTGTCTCTGCTTGTGTGTCACTGTGCTGCACCCTTTGAAGAGCAAGGAGAAGCTGAGCGGCACGTTCTGCGGTCAGCAGATTCCCCCACCTTGACTGTGCTCGTTGTCCAGCTCCCCTGTGCCCTTGCTCTGAGCGTCTCCTGTTTCAATCACCACATTCCTACCCCTCCCGCCCCCCAGGCTGCAGTTCTTCGTGGTGCTCACCAGCCAACGAGAGCTCTTCCCCAGGCTCACTGCCGACATGCGCCGGTTCCGGAAGCCACCCAGGCTGCCCCCTGAGCCGGAAACTCCCGGGAGCTCAGCTGGTAGCCCCGGGGAGGCCTCAGAGCTTGGCCTGGCCTCTGGACCAGCTCCCCTGTTCCCCCCATTGGCTACGGAGGTGGGCGTGGCACGGGCACGGCTGGCTCAGCTGGTCCGGCTGGCTGGAGGGCACTGCCGCCGGGACACCCTCTGGAAGCGCCTCTTTTTGCTGGAGCCTCCAGGGCCTGACCGGCTACGGCTAGGGGGGCGCCTGGCCCTGGCTGAGCTGGAGGAGCTACTGGAAGCAGTCCATGCCAAATCCATCGGGGACATTGACCCCCAGCTGGTAAGCAGCTGTGGATTCTAGAAGGGGCTGGTTTGGATACTAGGAATCCTACCAACAGCCAGGGTAGAGGGTACAGAGGTCTCAGGTGGCTCTGGGACAGCAGATCCAGCCCCATGGACCTTCCCCTAGGACTGCTTCCTGTCTATGACGGTCTCCTGGTACCAGAGCCTGATCAAGGTTCTCCTAAGCCGTTTTCCTCAGAGCTGTCGCCATTTCCAGAGCCCAGACTTGGGAACTCAGTACCTGGTAAGTCTCCCTGATCCTCCCCTGAAAGGGGACACAGCGGAAGTCCTCATCAGAGAGATGACAGGTGTCCCCCTGAAGGAGCCCCAGCCTGCCTGAACAAGGTCTGCTCTGGAAAGAGGCCTAGATGAAATGGGACTACCCGGATCCATGTAAAACCCTTCGAGGACTTGACCCTCAACATGGGATTCGTGAGAACGGCCTAGAGCTCTGTCCTCAAAAGCTCACAAAAACACAAACCTTTGGCTAGAGATCCCGAGGGCCAAGCTCTGGAACTTCATCAGTGGTTGGTCTTGGGGCCAGGGATCCCAGAAAGGACCTCTGGAGCTTTAAAGCCCCGTTACCCAAAGTGTGGTCCTCAGGCCGGCAGCAGCAGTGGCACCTGGGAGCTTGCCAGAATGCAAACTCTCAGGCCCCACTCCAGACTCAGAACGTGCCTCCTAGCCCGATACCCAGGGGCATGTGAGAGACTGAAAGCACTGCCTGGGCCAGGTAGAAAAGGGTTCACGAGAGCATGGGAATTAAGAGACTGAAGAGGTGGGCCTGACAAAAGCAGTGGTTCTGGGGAGGAGATGTGCAGAAGAGGGCTTCAAAAGTAGGAGTTGGTCTGTAGAGAGGGGTCCTGCAACCCTGCTTGTGGAGAAGGGTAGTTTCAGGGTGGGAAGGGGCATCTTTGGATATGGACGTGAGTTGGTCTAGCTGCAGTTGTGCAGGGGGTGTGAGCAGATGGGGTGCTTCTGTGGGTGGTGGGAGCGCTGAAGCAGGAGCAGCCTTGGGGGACGGGTGACAAGTGGAGTCTGAAGTCGTGAGGCCCTCCCAGGACCATATTCTAGAAGGTATATGGATGCCAGGAACTGGAGCCCAGGAGGGAGACCTGGGCAGCATCTACATGAACTGAAGCCTGGGCGTAGAAGGAATCATGTGGAAGAGATTGCAGAGCTGAGCATAGGGACAGACAGACGTAAGTCCCAGGGGAGGTCAAAGAGATACGAGACCCAGGACAGGAGGCAAGGAAGGGTCATGTCAAGTGTCGAGAACTCTCCTTCATTGATATACTTCGGCTTTGTGCGCGGCCTCTCGGTAGATGACCTCTGAAACAGACTTCTGGTCAGGCTGACTGGGAGTCAGTGAGGACGAGGACTGAGGTTCAGTTTAGAGACAAGGTCCTGGGTGACCGTGGAATGCGGGTGGGCGCAGGTTTGGTGATGGACGCAGGCCTTCCTCAAATGGGTCCCACTTCCAGAATGCCCTCGAGGAAGAGGGATGCTGCCTCAGGTGAGACAGACCTCACTCCCACGTCACTTTGTCTTTCATTGCAGGTTGTGCTGAATCAGAAGTTCACAGACTGTTTTGTGCTGGTGTTTCTGGATTCCCACTTGGGAAAGACGGTGAGCACAGGGGGGAGGGGCTTTGTGTCAGCCCAGTGGGAGGCTCTGCCCAGAGCCTGCTGAGGCTGGGGAGCCCTGCCCCCGGTACCCACTCTGCCCTCCACTCACCATGGCACCCCCACCATGTTCCCCACAGTCTCTGACAGTGGTTTTCCGAGAGCCCTTCCCGGTGCAGCCCCAGGACAGTGAGAGCCCTCCTGCCCAGCTGGTCTCCACCTACCACCACCTAGAGTCCGTCATCAACACAGCTTGCTTCACCCTCTGGACCCGCCTCCTGTGAGGCCCAGACCAGTGAATGTCATCCTTAAACCATGGATCTGTGAGACTGTCCACTTGAAGCAGGACTGACCAGCCCTTCTGGGCCCAGACACTGACGGACACCGAAGGCTTTGTGACTAGATCTCAGGGGCCTGAGTCCCAGCCTAGCAGTAGGAGCTGCCCCGCTGAGCACCTGCCAGGGTGACCGGCCCAGGGCTCCAGAGGGTCAGGTCAGTTCCCTGAGGTGCCCATCTCCTCTCAGGCCCCTGGACCCTCCCCAGAAAGGGACTCCACCTGCCTGCTGCCCTGGTGGAGTCCCAGGAATTCACACCAGGTGCCAAGCACTCACCCCTGAGAGCTCCTCTGCCTGAATGCTGCCTCCCAAGTCTTTGATTGCTTTCAGCCTCCCTGCATTTTGAGCATTTTGAGCCCTCTGGTCTTCATTTCCCACGTGAACATCATCGCCGAACATTGTTGAGATAACAACAACTTGGTTCCCATCCCAGCTCTGCTTCTGAAGCCCCTGTGACCACAGGCAAGCCCCATTGCTCTCGGACCCGTGGTTTCTGTTGTGTTAATGAAGAGGTGGGCTCGAAAACCCCCATCTCCACAGCGACACTGGCACAACGGACTGGAGGACTTGAGTGTGAGCTGTACGTCCCTTCTCAACAGGAGGGAAGTAACCCAGGGAGACAGAAGTTTAGACACCGTGTGTCCTCCACCCACCCAATAACACACAGAGGAAAACGTTCAGCAGGTGGTCTTTTAATTCAGGAGATTTGGGATGCTTGGTGCACTGTCCCACAGAGGCAGGTGGGTGCCGGGCAGGACCTCACTGGCCAGCCTGTGGGCGGCCCCGCCTATCCCAGTAGGAACGAAGCCAGTTCAGGCCCTCTGCTGTGTCTCCTGAGGAGAGAGGGAGGCCGTGGCATCTCGACCCGTGGGGAGAAAAACAGCCATGTCTGCTACCTATCCCTCAGAGCTCCGTTCCCCAGCCCTAGGCCTGGAGCCCCAGCACCCCCTCACCTTGAGGCTGGTACTCGCAGCCCACAAAGCCCTTGTAGCCTTCATCCTCCAGCAGCTGGAATAGATAGGGGAAGTTCAGCTCTCCAGGGCTGTCAGGTTCCCCCCGGCCCGGGACCTGTGCCACCTGCACGTGCCCTGAAGACAGATGTGGGCAGATGTGGGGCCCACGCTCCAGCTGGGGCCAGAGGGACAGATGCGAGGGTCTGAAGGGGTGGGAGGATAGAGGGAGTAACACAGCAGACGACAAGGAGCCAAGAGACCCCTCTCACCAACAAGGGGTAGGAACTCCCGGATGTTTCCTGTCAGGTTGCCATCCATGATCTGCCAGTGGAATATGTCCTGCGTAGAGATTACTACAGTCAGAGGCCCTGCAGGGCCCTTTCCCTCACCCCGTTCTTCCCAGACGTGGAGAACACGGGCCTTCTGTGAAGCACCCCCTTTCTTCCACTCACCATCTGTAACTGGAGGTTGGGTCTTCCGACCTTCTGTAAGATGGCTGCCGCTGGGAGAGAAAGCGGGGAGGGGGCCGTGAGACACAAGGAGAGCACAAGGATCACACGGGACTGGAGGGGGCACAGGGCTGCAGTCCTACCCTGCTGGGGCGTGTCCAGGAAGTACTGAGGGTCAGTGCTGCGGGTATTGATGGGCTCCAGCAGTCCCACGAGGCTCTCCTAGCATCATGGTGGACCCGTGTCCCATCGGTCAGTCACTGGTGAAGCCCCTCCCCGTTCCCTGTGGCTGGGCTAGTGCCCAGCCTTGTGCGCCCTCTGCACACATGGGCATTCGTGTAAGCATTGTGTGTCCGTTTGTTCTTGGTCTCACCTGAGCCAAAACCCCAGCCGCGTGCCTCAGGTTCTCCAGAAAAACTGTCTCCATTTCACTCCTGACTGCTGCTCGGTCAGCACCCTGGGGCACTCGGCCAGCCATCAGGTGAATCCTGGGGGGAGACAGCACTGGTGGGGGCTGGGGAGTCCGTCCTGGAAGCAGGGCCCTCCTTTGGCTCCCTGTGGGCATCTCCTCCAGCTGCCTTCCCCCCATCTCCCCTGCTGGTGATCTATCACCTGGCAGTGATGCCCTCCGGCACCCTCACACTCCATGGTCAGCCTGAGGCCGTGCCCTTCCCCAGATACCTTCTGAGAGACACCCCATCTTCCTGCTTCAGAGACCTCTCACTCGGCTCTCCCTGTCCATCTTCTTTCCAGTGGTCCTCTCCTCAGGCTGTAAACATGTGTCAGCCTCCCTTTCTAGAAATTATTTTGACCCTTTCCCATGAGTATTCCATGCTGCTTGTCTCCACTTCCTGCATCTGCTCCTTAGATTCTTCCCATCTGCTTTCTGCCCCCACCACTCGCCAGTAATGACCTGTTTCCAGTTCCACTTCGGCCCATTTGCACTCGATGGGATGTGTTTATTTGATCAACCCCATGGTGTGCCTTCTACCTCCTCCTGTTACCACCTGATCTTTCTCGGCCACACTCAACTCCAAAAGGTCACATTTCCAGCCTTAGGAATTCTGCTGAGCAAACGAAGCCTTCCCTGGTCTCTCTCCGCTGCATCCTCGCCTCCAGTGCTCCTTCCATCAAGACCCTGTTCAACATCACTACTTGTAAGAAGCTTCCTCTGATCCCAGACAGGTGCCTACTCTGCTCCCACAGCTGCCATGAACTGACCCTTCCTCAACTGGATCTCTGTATGTTTACCTGGCTACCTCCCTGGTCAGACAGCCCCCAGCACAGGATCCCAGGATGAAAGAGTAGCAAACAGGAGAACCGCACACGACAGATAATATCCAAAGGCAACTGACAAAGGACCAGGACTGAAGGAGTGGAAAGGCCAGTGCGCTCGGACTCCGAGCTCTCTGACCTGGCGTCCTGTTCTCCCAGACCCCAAACGTGGGGCAGGGTCTGGGAGGAGACAGGGCAAGAAGGGGAGGGGGTGGAGGAGAAGAGCGTAGGATACCTGGGACAGCCCAGAGCCTTGGCGTACAGCACCGCCTGCTCCAGCCCCTCTCGGAAGGCCGCTTGCCTCCCGGGAACGGCCCCCAGCCCCATTTCCCCTTTCTCTCGGTCCCCTGAGGAGAGAACGGGCGTCAGCTTCGGCTAGCGTCCCCAG